ACCCAAACTCCCAGACCCCACTAGCTACAGTGTAATTAGTGCCTGCGGTACACGGCTCACATCGTCGGCAGTCGCATACTATCTTGGAGCAAGGGCAAGGAAAATGGGCCCTTTGGCAGTTTTGCCTCACCACTGAAGAATCCTTAAAAAATGCACTGAGGTATTCACATAAAACTTGAACTTAATTTTCCTCCACTTGTCTTTCCTTCCTCTATCTTAATCGTTTTAATATGTAAAACTTTGTTGTAAATTTAGCAAAATAATCAATTTCCAGTTTTTACTCTTGCCACACTCATCAGGTGAATTTAAATGTCGCGCTATGTTCTTGTCAAGGTTATAAATACTATATACATGTTTGACGTAAACGGAAAGCTCAAGTATTAGATTACATATAGATTACATATACAGATTATACTAGAAAATACATGCATGCAGAAACCCTCGCCTTGCTGACAAAACCATTGTATTTTCCGAACATGAAGTATCTAAAGTAGTTGTCATGGTAACGCGATAATTTTTTAAGAATATTCTTGCAAATGAAAAATCGCCTAAAAATATCACTTTTAATTACAAATATAAGCTTCAATTTAAGGTAAAATTCAACCACAAACGCTTCGCAAAACGTTTTAAAGTGTTCTTTAATTTAATATAAAACTAAACTGCCTTTAATTAAATGGCTTTATCGATAAACTTTGAGTTTGCAATAAAATGATTCCAAATTCTCGCATGCAAATAACTTTGCTTAATTCTTTTTTATTTAAAAAATTCAACATAATAAAAAAGGGAATCAATAAAGATACACAGAAATTATATGCTATCTTGTTTAGTTGTTTCATTGACGCAAAGGCCGTCAGGTTTTAAAACAATAATAAAATCAATATTTCAAACAAACTTACCTTTGTTAACGTCGTCTCCCTTCTTCTAGCCAATTCTTTCGCCATTTCTTTCCTGAAATTTACAAAATCTTGCAAAAATGCGAGCAAAAATTAGGTATATTTGCAAGAAATTTATCAATCATCAAATCAAGAAATGTTTGCTATTTCGCTGTCGTCATGCAGTCGTTTAAAAATTTAAATTGGACCAATCAGTGCCTGCTATTCGTGACAGTCCACCATATTTTTGTGATCAGTGAGGATGACCACCCACCCAACACCGGTGGTGACCTACGCCCGCGATAATTGATGAACTTTAGACTCCGCTAATGCTTTCGTTTCCCCGGGTGTAAATATCCGGGAGGGGGGAGTTAGTACCCTCGCACGGCGCTTCGCGGCGTCGGCTCGGAGATAAACTGGATTATTAGTTTTCTGGCAAACAGAAAACGAAGAGTTGTTGTTGATGGCATAGAAACTGTTTATGTTGATATCAACAAAGGCATACCGCAGGGTACGGTTTTGGGTCCCTTTCTAGTTTCGTTGATGGTTAATGATATAAACATATGGATGCCCAAAATAACCTATTGGTTAAATTTGCTGGTTAAATTTGTTAAATTTGATATTTGATAAATTTGATAAAATTGGTTAAATTTGATATAACGACAAGTGCTCCAGTAAAATCAGGATCGGATTCTGCTGAGGCTGAGGTGGAAAGCATTCAGAATTGGTCGGAAGCAAATCAAATGAAATTAAATCTTTCTAAAACGTGGGAAATGGTTGTGCACTGTGGGTCCATGAAACCGTTACCGGCACCGATTGTAGGCATTGAACGAAAGAGCTGGTTGAAATTATTAGGTGTAACATTCCAGGAAAATCCATGTTGCTGGGATCTTCATATCGCTGATCTTCTGTCGAAGGCCAGCGGGCGTATGTACATATTGAGAGTGTGTAGATACTATGGTCACTCTGCAGATCAGCTAAGCAAATTATTCGATTCGCTAATCATGTCACTCTTTTATTATTGCATTCAAGTGTGGGGCTCTGCACTCCAAAAGAAATATTTGGATCGTATAGACAAGTTCCCCCGGCGGGCTTATCGTTACGGATATACGACAAAGAGTATTAAGATATCTGAAGTGATCGAGGAGAGAGACAGAAAATTATTCAGCAAAATCGTATCGAATCCAGAACATGCCCCACATGAATTGCTTCCTGTGTGTAAACAAAGGATCTTAAGACAAAGGGAACATAACTTTATTTTACCTCAAATTAAAACGGAGCGATTTAAACGATTCTTTATAAATAGATGTCTTTTTAACTATTTTTAACTTTTATATAATTAATTAGGATAGATCAATTTTTTTAACTGTAACAAATAGGAATTTGACATTTGTAAAGTTGCACGTCTGTTGTGACTCTAGACAATAAAGACTTTAATAATAATAACTGGAAAATACATGCATGCAGCAACCTTCGCCTTGCTGACAAAACCATTGTATTTTCCGAACATGACGTTCTAAAGTAGTTGTCATGGTAACACGATAATTTTTTAAGAATATTGTTACAAATGAAAAATCGCCTAAAAATATTACTTTTAATTACAAAATTATTAATTTCCCAACATATATATGTTAGGTATGTTATTTTACGTAATATAAGCTTCAATTTAAGGTAAAATTCAACCACAAGCGCTTCGCAAAACGTTTTAAAATACTCTTTAACTAAACTGCCTTTAATTAAATGGCTTTATCGATAAACTTTGAGTTTGCAATAAAATGATTTCAAATTCTCGCTTGCAAATAACTTTGCTTTCTTTTTTATTTAAAAAATTCAATATAATAAAAAAGGTAATCAATATTAAAGATATATAGAAATTATATTCTGTCTTGTTTTTTAATAGTTGTTTCATATACGCAAAGGCCGTCTGGTCTTAAAGCCATTATAAAATCAATATTTAAAACAAACTTACCTTCGTTAACGTCGGCTCCCTTCTTTTAGCCGATTCTTTCGCAGTTTCTTCGTGAGAGAGCTTTTCAAATTTACAAAATATTGCAAAAATGCCAGTAAAAATGAAATATATTTGCAAGAAATTTATCAATCATGAATCATCAAATCAAGAAATGTTTGCTATTTCGCTCTCGTGATGCAGTCGTTTATGCAAACTTTAAATTGGACCAATCAGTGTCCGCTATTCATGACAGTCCGCCATATTTTTGAGGTCAGTGAGGATGACCACCCACCCAAAACCGTTGGTGACCCACGCCCGCGATATTTGATGAACTTTATACTCCGCTAATGCTTTCGTTTCCCCGGGTGTAAATAGCCGGGGGGTGGAATTAGTACCCTCGCACGGCGCTTCTCGCCGTCGTCTCGGGGATTAAGTAATATTGCTTGAGAGAAACATGGGCGTCAAAAGATCGATAAGTGGGGGGGACCATATTCATATATTCGTGTTCTGCATTATTAATTTATTTTTAAATCAATTATTTTTACGGTCTGTGAACACGAATATATGAATATGGTCCCCCCCACACTTATCAACCTTTTCACGCCTATCGAGAGCAATTTGTTTCTATATCTGCATTTTGATAAAAGTTCGCTTCTTGAATTTAATAAAGAACAAAGTTCAGGGTGGTATATTATAATGAATTTTCCATGTGTACAAAGACTGCAGCGTTTAGTTGTGTTATTATAGCACAAGGAAAAGCTGCGATTTTTGTACACATGAAAAATTTATTATAATCTACCACCCTGAAATTTGTTTTTTAAATTCAAGTGAATTTTTATCAAAATCCAGCTATAGAAACAAATTTCTCTTATTTTTGTAGTTGAGCGTCAGGTGACTTTAACATTTATCTCTGGTTATATTTGTTTTAGTTGGTACAACGCCGTCCACTACATATCATACAGTTAGTAGAACAGCGTCCACTACAAATACTACAGTTGGTCCAACACCGTCCACACCAGATACTACAGTTAATTCAACACCGTCCACACCAGGTACTACAATTAGTCCAACACCGTCCACACCTGGTACTACATTAGGTCTAACACCGTCCACTACAGATCCTACAGTTGGTACAACATCGTCCACACCAAATACTACAGTTAGTCCAACACCGTCCATAACTGGTACTACAGTTGGTTCATTAGCGTCCACAACTGGTACTACAGTTAGATCATTGCCGTCCACGCCTGGTACTACAGTTAGTTCAACACCGTCCACACGTGGTACTGCTGTTAGTTCACTACCGTCCACACCTGGCACTACAGTCAGTTCAACACCGTCCACCCCAGGTACTACAGTTAATTCAACGCCGTCCATACCAGGTACAAGTAGTATTGGTATATTTTTATTTTTTATGTCCAATCTTTGATTCGTTCCAGGCTATCTTTGTATCTTGCAGAATCTAAGCTTTTTATAGAAACTGCACGATTTGCCAAATTTTGCAGCCCCCAGTAAAGTTTCATTCCAAGTAGCTGAAATCATCCAATTAGAATAACTGAAGCCATATTTTTACAATACAGGTGTATTTTAAAAAGTATACAATTTTAACATACTCACTAGCTTAGGCTGAGAATTCCGCAAGATGTCTAAAAATTGACGTGAATATTGATATGTTAGATCTCTCTGATTATGAAATGAATCCAAAATTTTACACCACAGTAAAAAAGGCTTTCGCAAAAAAATGGAAGTTTAAAACATAATTTGAATGCAGTGATCGGAAGCTTGGAAAGCGTTTAAGATCTAACAAAGTTTCAGACAATTTTACGTGTGTTAAGTTCATTACAGGACCTCTCAATTAAATGTGGTCTTTTTCGCTATAGTATAGCCGTTTGCGCGTATTTTTATTAACTTAAGCCCACCGCACACGACAGCAACTTGCTGAGCTAACTGCCACGCGTGGCAGCTATCTCAGCAAGTTGCTCTCGTGTGCGGAGAGTTTTCGTGAGGATTTGACCTCTCGAAGCCTTGAGGAAAATATCTATCGTGTTTGATATTTTTCACATCGCGAGGAAAAAATCTCAGAACCTGCAGCGGATATTGTGAGCTGAGTTAGGTCATTTCACGAGTCAAGCTCGAGCCAAAGTCAACCACGAGTCAATTTTTTATCTCATACCTAGCGTATTAGCGGCTTTCCTATTGGCTAAGAGGAGGTGCGTTCAATCTCGAACCCACCATGTTTAGGAGGTGGGTTCGAGATCGATGTTTCGGCGGCGGCCATTATGAAGCGATTTGAACAAATTTCAGACGAAGATTTAAGTAAGAAATAAATTAACTGTTTTTAATTGTTTTATAATTATTATTTTTTTATTTTGTTTGATAAAAATGGAATATTCTGTATTCAAAGTGGAAGAGAAGAAAGATGGCCGCCGAAATTTGTTCGGCACGGGCAGGTTTATATAAATCTTGGCATTGCTTTCGCAGAATGTGTTCATTTTCTCTTTTCAAAAATAGGGGAATATTGTAGAGAAATTTTTTAACTTTAATTTAAGCCTAAGTTTGTTTGTTTGCGTACTATGTTTGCGGCTAAAATGTTCGTTATCCAAACACGAAATTATATACAAAAAGGTAAATGCGTATAAAATTCTTCCGTACTTTTTAGTATTTTACCGAAATGGCATGTGATAAAAACCAAACATACTTGCAGGTTCGGTGAGTCTTGAATTGGACGCACCTCGGATGGTTCGGGAAACTTCCAGCCACCCTCGATGCGTCCAATCCCGACTCACCTCCCTGCAAGTATGTTTGTTATAGAGTCACGAGTCAAATTAGAGTCAACCTATAAACTTCGTTTTTGCGCTTTTTACGTTATTTTATTAATTTGACAATTTTTATAGTTTAATTTCCAATTTTGATGCAGGTAAGTAACATTCTCACCGTCGCTTGTTGTTTGTTGTTCCACAAATCTGACTCGGCCCAGTCGCTTATCTCGCGTTGAATGATGGGAATGCGATGGTTTATCCCCATATGCTTGGGCGTTTTTTATGGCAAAGGCCATGGAACCGCTATATATTTGTGGGACTGTGGACGAGCCAGTGCACAGACAACGACTATATATATGGGAATTCTGTTTGTCGGACGGAAATCCGGTAATTCCTAATTTGCGAGCGGGTAAGCCGACAACTGTTTGTGTAGGCTTTGCAAAGCCTATTTTTGAATATTTTTGAAATACCATGATTTTAGACGTAAAGAAACGTATTACTTACTCGATTTTAACTAAGTTAAGTTACTTTAAACTTAAAATATCCGCCATGTTGTGACGTCATTGTTGCCTTAGCAACGGCAGTTAGGAGTTTTATTAAATTCCGAACTCCTTAAATAGTTTTTTGTTATACCAATCAGATACTCTCTGTTTTAAAACAAATAATAATTTTCCAGAAATTTATATTCAAATCAGAAAATCTTTAATTTTTAAAACAGTGTAACAAGCTACCTTTAATTAAGGCCCACAAAGACCGAACGCGATTCGGCAACGCGACTTTTCAGTTTTTAAAAACAAATAAAACTGTGAACGGTCAAAAATTTTACAAGATATGCAGACCAAATAGTTAAAATTGCTTAAGTGGTTCCGAATATTTGAAAAACATAGAAAAATATTGAAGTTAAATGTCACTGAAAATTGAAACTTGCAACTTAAGAATTCAAGTTTTGTTTTAAACGTTCCAATTTTGCACACAACCCAATTTTAATGCGTTTTTTTTTTCAAACTAGCGTTGCCGCCGTCGATTAATTTGTTATATTAGTTTTAAGCGTATTAGTTTTAAGAAACGTGTTATCCGGCTATTATGTAGTTATACACACATTTACTTGACCAAACATTTTCAGAAAGATATTCGGGATTAACATGACCATGACGTAATGCACCTGAGAGTGTAATTTGTGTGTGTGTGTTTGTGTGTGTGTTTGTCTGTCGCCTCTGTAACTAGAATAGTGTTAGGAATAGTTTATTTTCTACGCGAGGTAGGGAATCGTTTACATCAAATGTAGATAACTAACAGTTCTTAAATGTTCGTCTTCGTTGGGTAGTTTCCTGGGTTCACTTCAGCCTTCAACTGGTTTTCACGGTTCGTGATCTGTTTCGTTAATTTCTTCGTTTTGTCTTGTTTCGTTTGAGCTTCTTACAACTTTTCATACATAATTTTTACTTCGTTGAGTCCACTGACGAATTTGGGTTGTGCACACCCTTTTATACTAACGGTTGAGGGATCTTTGCACACGTGATGTAGCAAGTGGTGTGATTTGTATCCAGCCAATCAACGTTGAGTTTCAAAGTGTGGGTTGGCGTTGCTAGCTCGTTCCAGCTCTCACATTCTGTTTATTTAAGGCGTTGTCGCACTTGTCGAGTCGGTTCGCTGTTCAATCGATCAATGTTAAAATATGTTCACAACTTAAAATACTTATCAAAATATCATAGTAAAAACTTCAAACTATACCTATGTGAATCTTACTTGACCTACTAACCTAAATTTACTCGTAATTTTATTGAACTAGGTTTCTATGACGTAATATATAGATTTCGTGACCGAGTGTTATCTAGCTTGGGATGACTCATATTTTACGCCTGAGTCTGTCCACGTGAAAAGGTCGATGTTCATGAGACCCAAGGCAGCTGTCCTGTTTAAACAGATCTGCCCACAAGACAAACTATAGGAAACAGGTCAATCAAAACATGATATTTTCACATACACAACTGCAGCTAGTCTAACAAACTGTCGCAGCCTAATGGAAACAATAATGAATGTTTTCCGAAGAATCGAAATATTTACGTTACTTTGATTTGTGGCGAAATATCCATTATCTCTTCTCATTATGCTTTGGATAATATTTGCTTGCACGAACATTTCAGTTGCTCTCAAGCCAACATCTTCTGTGTTATTTTACTTTTAGCCTAAAATTTTTATGTATAAGTAATAATGTTTCGTAACAATAGTATCCAACGTATTGATACGAAAATTTAAAGGAGTAAAGCACGTGCATGCTCATTGTATTGGACTACTTAATGGACTACTTAATGTTCGATTAAGTTCGGATGAACATTGGATGAGGTATTAGCAAAAGTAAACTTTAGAATTATTAATAACAAGTGTGTTGTTAGCGGTAACTGTTATATGCCGTACGTCGAATTCTGAATTATGTATATTATTGATTACTATCATGTAATTCGAAAAATATTCAAAACGTTTCATGCATTCAATATATAAAGGTTTAATTTAAGCTTCTTTTCAGGTTCAGGTCTTTAAGCGAGTTTGACTAATTTGCGTGAATACTATAAATTTTAGTTTGCAAAGAGGGAAAGTTTAGCCTTGGTTTTTGCTCATTTGCTATATCACTTGTTTCTTAAAATTGATTGGCTGTTTGAATACGATGATTCAATATGATTGGTTGGCTGTCCACTCTTGTGAACCAATCAGATTGCAGGAAACACCATTGATTTCAAAATGAATATAATAGTGGACTGAAATCAAACTTGTGAATACAAACTCCCGCTTCGCGGTCGTGCGATTTTGTGATCACGCATTTTATTTCATTCCAAAATGCACCCCACTCACTTAAAATACCATTATGAATCGAGGTACTGAAACAAGAAAACAACTTCGCTGTCTTTGGTAATGCTTCTACATATAAAGATGTCAAAAATATTACAAAGAAAGTATTGATAAGTGGGTAGTAAACCCTTCACTGCAGGAAAACGAAACATGTTGCAACGAATGGGCGAGAAAACGTTAAAACTCCAGAAATAACCATAAGCAAAGAATGTTATTGCAAGTTAATTGTTCAACGTTTATAGTGGAAATCACAAGCTACACAAAGATACTACAACAAACGTTTACAAATGCCTAGCAGCAGCCGACGTATAGAGATAAGAAATTTCAGGACAATCCGGTTTTCTACTGTTAAAATTAAGGTTTCCGACGGATAGCTATTCACCCTACTATCCATGCTTTGTATACAACGCATTTTTATCCAGAGGATAACTATCCATTGGATAGGAAATTTATTCATTGCGTTGGACTTTAACTAGCCCCTGATACTTTTGGTGCCTTTTACTATTAAATATGCCAACAATTGCAGAGATTCGTAGTGGCTTTAATGTATCAGAAATTCTGGTAATTTCGGAGCCTTTTACAATTTAAATATGCCAAAAATTGCTGAGAACGATTGCATGTACAAAGTATCAGAAATTCTGATACTTTCTATAAGCCTTTTATAGCAGTAAATATCGCAAGTATATAAGAAATTCAGATACTTTCGAAGCGTTTTACCGTTTTGATATGTCAAAAATGAGAAATTGAATGTCGAAGGTATCAGAAATTCTGATACTTTCTAAGCCTTCTACGCAGGAAATATCGAAAACACATATATAAGAAAGTCTGATACTTTCGAAGCGTTTTACCGTTTTGATATGTCAAAAATTAGAAATTGAATGTCGAAGGTATCAGACATTCTGAAACATTCGGGTCCTTTTACATTTTCAATATATATCAAAAATTGCAGAAATTTGATATCACAGGTCACACATTTTACCTACGGTAGACTGAAGTGTTTGAAGCATATACTCTAAATTTTAGAAAGTCGCATTGAAGCGTAACTAGATTATAATCATCCTCGTCCCTAGGCCCAAGCTTGCACACCTCTCGCAGTGGCCCTGGTTCAAGCTGTTGATCGCAATTCCGGCTAAACAGATAGTTATTACAGGAGGAGTTATATTTTAAGCCAAATTTGCGAACGAATACACCCAATTACTTACCTCCCCCCCCCCAACGTTTTCATTCGACTAACTTCGAAAATCTCTTCCCTCAAAACGTAAATATTCATAAGATAGATAACACATTTTGTAACTTCTGTGCTTATGATTGCGAATTGAGGCGAGAGTTAAATTGGATTTAGTTGGATTTTATTTTATTTTAAAGAGAACGATGGTTATGTAATATGATTCACATTATTATAGCAAACGACCTACCTGGCATGTAGACATTGAACAATGCAGACACATGTCTCACACCTTATGGACTTTTCGAACGGTTTTGTCTAACAAAGGTTGTGCATTTCCGTTCATTTGAAATTTCGACATAACTTTATACGCCTTGCTTCACAACCATTACAACTGTTAGCAATATATAATCAGTTACTTTCAGTTACTCTCTCGTAGTTTTATGTTTTCGCGGAAGACAGTTTTTTATTTGAATCTCTCAGGTTAGTTGAAAGGAGATATCGTTAAGAGTTACGAATTTGTTTGTGGTTGCCGGATTATACGTTGAATTGAAGGCCAATCAACTCTTCAAACTCTTTACTCTCCGACTCAACGTTCCCTGTTAATAACTCTTCTTTTGTCATACCCAACTAACTTTACAGATCTTACACTAGCAGAGAAAGGGACAACTAATAAAAAAGAGACTACAATACGACCGAATGTGTAAAGTAACCTGTGTTTGTTTACCCTAATACTCACCCAGTAAAAACACACAGTGAACATCGACACATAAGCAATTCAATTTTAAAATATGCGAAGTAATCTATTGATATTTACTTGTATCTGGTTTGCTTTCTGCTTGCTGGTTGACCATACTCATGCTTGCACCATTTCATGTCATTTTTGTAGCCTTGCAATTCTCAAGAATTTGCTTTAGTTCATCTCTTGTAACTGTCCAAAATACTCTAGCAGTCGTGATTTTGTATTGCACTCGCTGGTCATATTAAGCAAATTTTCGCCCAGTAGCGCGAGCTCGTATTTTCTAGCGGACTTGCTGTGAGGACAGCGCTGGTCATTTTGTGTAAGATGTCCACTGACAATACGAACCCACACAAGTCGAAGAAATTTCGCTTTATTTGACTAACGTGACAAACGACGCAAAAGAATGGTGGTCATGTTGCTGGGCATTCATGTGGGCTCAGTGCCTTTAAACTTAATATCAAAATTTTATCAGTAAAGCAAAAACTATGCCAACCATACCTTGAATAATTTAGCATTCCTTTATTAATATTCCACGCCCATCACGATGTACATAAGAAGGCGTGGGAACCGGGGGGCAAGGGGCAGGGCCCCCGAGTTTGGAAAAGCGCCCTTTTTCCGGTGGGAAAGTGCCCTTCTGACAGCGTGAAAAATGACGTTCTGATTGCATTTTCGTCTCAACGGCCCTTGATTTTTAAGTGCATTTAATTTTGTAATTTGGTATGTCCGGAAAATGTTGTTATTTCCGGAAAAAATTATGATATGTCCGCGAGAATTTTTGTATGTTTGCGAAGAGACTGGTATGTCCGCAAAATTTTTGGTGTGTCCGACCTCCCCACCCCCGTCGTCAACATTTCCGGGAAATTTTTTTAGGTCCCCTCTTCTTTCGAAGTGTGCCTAGAAACCGGGGACCCCCAACTTTTTTATGCTTCCTACGCCCCTGGTACATTATACGCACGTTCGGTTTGGTTTTGCCAGCTCAAGTGGGATACAACAGACAATTTGATTGGCTAATCCGCGTGCATTGTGTTGCAACATAGACAATCCAAAAAGCAGGGACTGGAAACGCCTAATGTTTGCGCGTGCCTTCCGTGATGCGCTAGCGTGACGCTTGCGCCATGTGATGTGACTTGAACGTTGCTTCCAAAATCGAAAACGGATATATATTGACGATTAATATTGATGTATTGTCTGCTGTTTATATATTGGAAGATTGTTTAAATAATCTAAACCGAAAAGAGAGTTATGTATCAGTCATATCAAATTGTGTGTAAAGTTTATAAAACGGATCTGCTTAACCAGAGACGGGTGCAAAGAATTTTCGCGCTTGTTCGAAAATTTTGATTTCCAATTTGGGGTGGACTTTTTGGCACAATTCAGGTTTATTTCGTATTTTAGTTTTCTTTAATTAAATTTACGTATATTTATTCAGTTATGCTTGACTGTATTTACGTTATAAATTGTTGAAGTTACCTTTTCGATAGTTTTTCAGTCTTTTTTGTTCAAAAGTACAGTAATACTCTGAACTTTCAACAATGGCGACAAGAATGCCAATGGCGACTTTTTTGCAGTCAAAAATATTACGGAAGCTTCAAGGGACGTTTTTGGCTTTGTTTTACTCAATATAATTTGAAAACCGGGTAAGTCCATCCACAAATCTATTTTTGTTCAAAATATGTAAATTACAAATCCTGATCTTTATTTAAACTATAGTTACAGGGTTTGAAGAGAGTGTAAACTCTGACAACAACAATGGCGAGTTTTTTACAGTCAAAAACATTACGCAAGCACTCAAAGAACTTTTTGGCTTTCTTTGACTCAATATAAGTTTAAAAACCAAATAAGTGCATCCACAGATCTATTTTTGTTCAAAATATGTAAATTACAAACCCTGAACTTTATTTAAACTATAGTTACAGGGTTCTAAGTGGGAACAAATAGCCATCTTCTAGTTGGCGCAAAAGTAGCAGCGTGAAAAAGGCTTGTTTTTACCAAATTGGGGAATCGCAGAGCTTTTCTGATCCACTAAATGCCCTTGTTGTGCATTTAAGATGATAACTGTATGATGTTGTCGGCAAGTGATAGCTTTGTCTTCAAGTTCCAGGTTTCGAAAGATATGTACTCTCGTATTTTTACAGTGATATAAAAAAATCAAAATTTGAAAAATACAAAAAAGAAAAAAGAGGAAAAAAATAAAAAATAAAAAACAAGATTTACATTTTTTGGTTCAGATTAAGGCGGGTTGCCAGGGCAACGGATAATTGTTTCGTGATTTAAGCGCATCACGGATGTCCCGCCAGCATCACTGCTTTTGCCACAGCGTTTCCAGTCCCTGTCTTCTGGATTGTCTATGGTTGTAATAAAGCATAGTGGTCCGTGGCACTACCTAAACTATAGGATCTATAGATTTTTTTAAACCCAAAATTTATCTGCAAACAAGAAGGAATATAGCAAAGGAACAAAGCAATTTTTTTTATAGTTTTAGGCTACTTGTAAAAACGGTGAAATTAACTGACTTGGCATTCGTCAAGTGTGTTTTTGCCTCGACAAGTTTTGGCAAAAGCGTGCAAAATAGCCGTGAAAAAGTACCAAAAGCAATACCAAAACATAGAAAATGGCAACAAAAACTGAACAGAAGTGATTTAGAAAGTACCTTCAATGGTTCTAATAGAATCTGCTAGATAAATTTTCGGCAAATGCCAAAAAAATACAATAATTCTAAAATTAAAACTATGCAACACGACCAAATCTACGATTTAACGTCTTTTACGGCAAATCCGGCAACCCAGATGCTGAAAAACTTTAGCAAATTAGTCTGTGCATCACTGGGATATTTCTCCCCAGCATTTTAAGCAGTTTCTTTGCAACTGTTGTTCCTTCGCTTGCTTATTGTCGATGCAATAGAAGTGTTGATAAAATATTGCACCAATTCCTTTCCTCAAGTTGATCAATTCATTTGATAGAAAATTGAGCAACTTCCTGTTTACTGGCATGCTTGTTCCCAATTGGTCAATCAGTCACTGAAACGTAAAGCCATTGGTTGATTCAAACACACAGGAAGTTGATAAATTTTTCAACGAATGTATTGATCAGTTCTAAGTGGTGAATTGATGCGATATTTTATCAACACTTCCATTGCAACGACAGTAAAAATTCAAGCGACAGTAAGAGCGCGTGACGTCACTGAGTACATGTTAGGAGAATTTAAATGTCGATCTTTTTGTGCTTTACACGCTTCTCTCGTATTCTCCCAACATTCCCCGCGTGCATTATCACACCATAAACGCATGCGACTCGTTTTCTTTTTCTTAAGTCCTGTTATCCTTCATTTTGGTCTAGATGGAACGAGTGCTTATCTATGTCGTACCCGTTTCGTGAAGTTTTTATCCAGGCAATATATTGACCGGGGATATAGTTAATTTAATCTATTTATAAACTTTACAATCAACAAAACGATTGAAGGTACAGACAGCAGGACTGAGGAGTCCAACATTAAATCCTACCTACACATTATAATGACATTGTAAAACAATAGAGACAGGGTTATAAACTTTTACAAAACTACAACACAAAAATTACAACACAATCAATGCGTTCCAAGCCATCCTTTCACTTTCCAACGTTAATATGAGCTAGACATGGACCGCCCATATATTGCAAACCTTTCTAAGTCAAAGTTTCTAGTTATATACCTCTATAACATATATGTTAATTTTTGGACTGGAAATTATAAATAACCATTTTTATAATTTAACCTTATTATAAATACAACTTTGTGATTTTTTTTTAGTTGGAGCAGTGTTTGACCCATTCGGAAATCAGGCGACAATTCCAAAGGGAGGAACTGTCACATTTGTACTTGTTATAGTAATTGGTGAAACATTCGTGCCCGAGCTGAAGAACAAGAGTAGTCCGGCTTTCAAAAATATGACATGGAGATTTCTGAAATTCTTGATCCCAATATACCAAAATAGAACTCGTTTTCTTGTAATTATCTTTATTTCATTTTGCCCGGGAAGTGTTGTTGCAAATATTGAAATATTATATAATTCCACCCAACCAATTCCGACTGTTGAGGAAGTTAAATCACCAATCGCGGAAGCAATAGGATCGGCGCCGTTCACTATTGAAAGTTTACAGGTCACGAAAAAGGACGAGTCACAAGATGGATTCGAAACTTGGAAGATTGGTGTCATTGCGTGTCTTGGCTTAGTACTTCTTCTTATTATTTGTCTTTCAGTTGCGGTGAGTATTTCTTTTACTCTGGGAAAGATAAATTGAAAAAGCGGGAATAAAATGAACTGTTTGTAAGATTGTTTGATGCCATCAGTCATATCAGGGCTTTTTTAAGGATTTTCCCGTGGGGGCGGGGGCCTTATTTGAAAAGGGACCTTTCTGTGAGATAATATATTAGATGGGAATGAAGGCCACGTGTGTGGCAAATATACCACGCATAAATCGGGGGTCTGGGGTGTACTCCCCCAGAAAAAAATTGAAATTTGACTCCCGGAAATGTAATTTCCTGCATTCTGGGCATCCAAATTTGCTCTAAAATTTATGCTAACTATAGTTGTATTTGAAATAAAAGATGGAAAAATGCACAAAAATTAAAAAAGAATATTAACTGTAATTTATCATTACTTATTAGAGGGATAATCCCAAGAAAATTTTTGAAATTTAGAAACGTGAAATGCTATTTCCTGCATTCTGAGCATCCAAAAAATAAAAAAATATTAACAATAATTTATCATTACTTAGTGGTAAAAAAGTAACAATTTAAATCGATTTTGTTAAAAAAGGCCCTGAGTCATATGTCAGCAGTTACAAGTGAAGAAAGGCAACAGAACCAACGAATAAATTCTGTTTAGGAAAGATGAACAAACACGGTTCCATTTTCGTTTCAGTTTGCGCAAATCAATCACAAACAGGAGCATTTTAGGTTAATATTTCCTCTATTGAAAGACCTTCGAAGTCACTAGGTGCAAAAATATATTCGATAAAATCTCCATACCATTTTCGTATCCCTCTAGTTTTGGTATTTCGAACACAAATGCAAATTTATTATGTAGATACTTGAGTTTCCGAAAAGATTTACTTAAGCAAAAACTTGTTTCGCAATGGACACTAGCCCATCAGAAAAAAGCAAACGTCAAAACAGTCCAATCAAATGAGACAGCGATGAGTTACGAATAAATTCAATCGCACGGCAGGAGTTCTCCCTCCCTTTAATTTGATTTTGTTTATTTCACCCACAAGTGAACATAAACTCTATATTTTCTTCCTTTAAACCAATTTTTATTATTGTTTCAATTAATTGCATGCTTTGCATATAGGAATTTAAGGTGTTTCAAGAACTATGAATTTATATGGCTCAGTATAAATATAAGATATGATCAACATAACAAAAATGGTGAAGGTTAAACCGCCTGTACTATATAAAACAATTGTGTCAATGGAAAAAGTTCAGAATCTATATAAAATAAACAAAATGTGTTAATGGGAAGTGCTTTTGAGTTGTATTTCTCTGCTCATTGCATTCACTAGTTCGCTTTGTAAAAACAAAAATTACCATACCCCGCACTTCCCATGTAGAATGTTCTATATATGCCACCAAGTTCATCCTATCTCTGCCATGCCAAACAGATATCTCGTATAAAGAAAGATTGCAGATCCTTGGCATCATCCCTCTATGTTACTGGCATGAATATTTAGACATAAGTTATATCTTTAAAAGTCTCATAAATGACTCTGAGAGTAATATCTCGGTCAAAGTTTCAACACGAGAAACAAGAAGAGCAAGTAATGGAACTTTCCTAAATGTGAGAAAGTGCAGAACTGTCAACTACCAGAACAGTTTTTATATAAGAGCCGCAAGCGTGTGGAACACTCTTCCTAGTTATATTAGAGACACAACTAAGTCTATAGGATCATTCAAAACATTACTACGCAAGCACTATAAAGATCTAACGGACAGTGTTTTCAACCCCGATGACCCGAGAACTCTTAAGTCAGTTTGTGTGAGAAATGTCACACAAGTCGTCCTTTATGGAACTTATTATCTAGACCATGTTGTTAGGTCAATCGAACCTTTTATAGTGATCCCTTATTGCGTGTGCCAAATGCAATTACCATAATGCTATAATGAATATTACTTTATCTTGTGGTTCAACTCCATGTTCGAGACTACGAGTATAGCATTTTGGCGGTTGTGCATGGACGGTATGCGTGATAGGGAAAGCAGTCATTAAATTTTAATATATCTTGGTCGATACATAAACAATCTTAACAGCTTCAAATTACTCTAGTACTTCATTCAAGAGTTCAGATTTTCAAATAGGATCTCATGTCGTTGTCTTATCGTTATTTGTTTCAATTTGTGGCCTGTTAATTTGTTTATCTGTTTATTAGGATGTCTAATATCTGGCACGCCATAGTGTAAATTATTGTTATGTTTATGTCTGTTGTGGAACCCCGTTATTGGAGATTTTATCTCTGTGTGGTCATTCCAGCCATTGTGTGTAATTTATAGTTAGTTTATATCTTTAATAATGGCAAATTTGTAAAATTAAATTAAAATAAAATTAAAATTAAATTAAATTAAATGTCTATATCTACATGCACCTTCGTATTCTGAATCTTTCACCGGAGAAGGATGCGTTTTCGTTTTTCGCAGGTAGGCTAGTATGTATTTATTGTGAAAGGATCTTCTAAGCAAAAAATGCTTTTTTCATTACAGGTTATTGTTAATGGACGCAAAGCAGAGCGTGCACGGTATAATTCGAAAAATCGTAGAAATAGCTTTGACTTGGATTTTGATCTCTTTTCATCTGATGTTGATAAATCTAATGGCATTCCAGTAAGTAAGAATTACATGTCTTGTTTTAATTTAAAACAGTAACCCTTGATGGCTCATAGGCATCTGATTTTTGGATCGGCCGTTTTCTTACATATATCACACTAATTACTAACTAATTACATAAATGGTGTGCACAAACAATACAGTATAACAAAACATACAAGTCTTATAAAAATAACAAAAATATTAATATTAATATTTGCATGCAGTAAATAACATTAAATTTATTAATCATATTTACAAAGATAATGTTGAATCAGAGGAGAGATGAGGGTCTTCCCGAAATGCAACGCGCGCCTCAATGCGGCTCATTATTATTGAAGACGTAATATTTCAAATCCGAGTTAGTGTTTTAGACGTGGTTTCTAAATACAAGTGCCATGAACAATGGTGAGGCGCAGCCGAGCCATTGTTCATGGCACTGGGGATTTGGAAGCCAAGTTTAAAACACTAACGAGGATTTGAAATTGCTTCTCACACATCATTAGACTTTCATAGCAATGAGGCATGAAATTATTAGATATTAAAAAAAGTGAGCGTGGGCATTAACGATTACATTCGCTTGAAAGTTTGCATGAAGTGCAACGAAGCATTCAGTTCGCTTTCGTCGTGAATAGATTAATTTTGTTGGCAAAAGAGCATGGTATCTTCTTATAATATAAGAGAAAGCGGTTTCGAGAACCAGAAAGTGTTGAGTACAGTATTGTGCATAGTATTGTCGCTCGGCTGACAAGGTTGGGGATCCAAAAAACGATATATCAGATTGTGTGTGCGATAAGGCGCTATCTGGTGGAAAATGAAAGAGCCGAAGTGAATATATATTTTATAGACGGTAAACATTACTGTTAAGTTGCTGTATTATAGTGTTTAAAGCGCTGTTTATTATGATAGTTGGAAAAAAAGTTGTTTTTTCTATATTTATGTAGTTTTCAAACGTTCAGGAAAAGTGTTAGCTATAAAGTGTAGTTAGAATAAATTTCTAAATACAACTTACTGTAGCAATTAAATATATTTGCATAATCTTTTGTTTACGCCTCAATTTCCCTATTGTTCAAAGCCCTTCCCACTTGAAGTAATTAAAGTCCTGGTCTAGACGGGGTATCCAGATAGATACACGTGATGTAAATTAAACCATGTCATTGGCCGAAATGCTATGAATATCTAATGATGTATGAGAATTTTATTTTCAACGCGCCATTCGATTAAAAACTGTTGAAATAATTGCGATTTTTGCTGTGAAGATGTCATTTTCTGCAAAGTATATTTTGATTGCCTTTTTTACAATTTAATCAAGATATATTAGAATTTTACTTATAATTCCTTTGAATTTATGCATGTTTCGTGTCAGAGAACACGACCGTAAAAGTGGCATTGAAATATTCATCAGTACATTATACTTTTTCAACATGAAACTAAGGTAAAATCACATCAGTGAATTTAGGAATGTTTCTTCTTTATACTGAAACTTTAAAATATTAATTTACTCCATGTAACCAAAGATCTATCGCGATTTGAAAATGAGCCATTTTTGCTATTATTGGATCTATCTTGATCGCGTTGCATTTCGGGAAGATCCTCATTCCTCCTCTGATGTTGAGTTATGCAGGTCCTTCAATAATGCATTTAAATTTGTTAAGGCGTGTGACTTTTTCTTTGCCTATGCTCTTTTCCATAAAGTTGGTTTCTAGCTTTCCAGATACACATAATTGCTGCTATTACTTCGCAAGACATACCTATCATTACTTTTAATTTCCAACAAGTTTGTTAAACGAAAATGGCAATTCTTTATTTCTCACCGTTAAGCCGGTTACATACGAGCAAGTTTTCTATGACAAGTTTTTATGTGACAAGTTTTATTTTCTCGTCTGTACGCGCAACTTTGACAAGTTTTTCTATGAAAAGTGCACTTGTTGAAAAGCTATATAGCATGGTAGCTTTTGAACAAGTGCACTTGTCATAGAAAAACTTGTCAAAGTACAAATTTTGTTCGTGTGTATGGGTCAACAAAGAAAACTTGTCAAAGTAATCTGAGCATTTGATGTGATTGGCCAGCGGACTATTATAATTTTCTGTCATGGTAAATCATGGTTGCGATAAACACCTTTTTCTGACACGTTCACAACAGTAATTAAAACTTGTCATATCAAAACTTGTCACATAAAAACTTGTCATAGAAAACTTGCTCGTCTGTAACCGGCTTTAGATAAGTACGGATTTATATCCGTGCTGCAAAGCAAACATTCGTGGCCAGAGATCACGGCCAAGATTTATTATACTTCTTTAGTAATTTGAATATTACATTGCAATATGGCGTCAATAGTCGATAGTGAATTTACTGAATTAGCCTATAAAATTATAGGGTAATGCGACGTTTTCAATCGCAAAATCTTACAATAAAGTACGTCGTTTGCAACCGCCTTAATCGCTGCATGTTTCAAAGCAAAATCTGACTGTCAAAGTATTCATAATATCGTATTTTAGTAATACTGGTTCTTTCTTGTTTTCTAGAATTACCCGGAGTCATTTGAAATGGACGAGAGAGGCGACATTTATCTGTAATCAAAAAGCGACAAGCCCACGTTGCCGAAGTAAAACTAGAACTGCACTAAATATATTATATAGAAACAAACATGCCTAAAGATTTGTAATCCAGGCACAATATTATGCCTGGATTACAAATCTTCTGACATATTTTTGGAAGTTAGCAGTGATAAAAAGATAACTTTTGTTCAACATTCAACACGGTTCTTCGAAACCTATATATATTCACAGCACTTTGTATACAAGCACAAATATACTTATTAACTTCAGCATTACCATAAAGGGTATGAAATATTATGCGTGCAATACTGCACCTTCAAACCATTACTTTCTTGCTTATATAAGCCCAGATATAGGAAGTAATGGATGCATGGTAGGTCGAATTACCTAATTACGTAATGGATGCATGGTAGGCCGCATTGTATGATTTATGCATGATACAGAACTTAATTTGTTGATGGAGGTATGCAGTCTACGAGTGCCCTTTAGTGTTAATTACTGTGTTTTTTTCTCATTAAATTTAACATAAACTTTATTTTGTTTCTTTATATCGATTTCTATTGTTGCATGCCCATGGTAACAAAGTGGAAGCACGTCAAAGATGGCGGGTGCTAAATTTTAAGCTCTGCAAAATTTTACAAATTTTATCTGATTTTAACCATTTTAAACTGGTTACGTTAAAATTATTAATAGTTTTAATTTCCAAATAAGCTCTCGTCAATATATTACGTGAATATATTTACAGACTCACAATATAACGTCGTTCAATCAACTATGAACGACCTCAGTGGTCTAACATATGATGGTGAAACATACCGATGGCTTAAAACTTTTGAAGACCTAAAATGTTTTATCAACGAAGCATTAAATATAAAAGGCAGGTGGAAATCTCCTGGAGAAGACGTCAAAGTTTTCAGAAGCGATGGAGAAGGGGAATTCGTCATCAAATGGCATGGTCCTCGTTCAAAAAAGCTGATTATACAGAGTGACAATGCCGAGGAAAACCTAAAGTCGAAGCTTGAAAGTCTGATTGATCAGGGCCCGAGCAATGTAAACATTTTATACGAAGCTACAGATGTAATTTGTCCATCGGTGCCGGATGTTTGTATCAGTATTGATGAACTATCTGTGTCGCAGTTTGCGAACCTGAAAGCGGATTTTGCAAGTTTGGTAGATATTACAAGCAATCTGTTATCGGAAGTTAACTCTATGCGATCTAAGCAAAAAGATTTTGAATCCGTTATTCGCAAGCAAGACGACGCGATTTGTAAACTTAGCGAAGAAAATTTATTCCTCACGTCAAGCTTACTGTCCCTTGAGAGTTCAATATTCAATGTAATGAATAATAATTATATGTTCAACAATCCCAAAAACAGTATGAAAATTACCATCTCTAATGATCCTGAGACCATTGATAAAGATCAGTCAACCGACCCTAAGAAAAATACCTCCTACACCAGCGGACCATTTTTACTGAATGAATCTAGTACGCTCGATGAATCTGTAACTATAATAAAAGATCAACCTAGCGTTTCTGTAAGTGATCAACCTAGCGTTTCGGACATTGAGGTTGTTGACAACCGCAAATCAGTCGAAGCAACCAAACTAGATAAAACCAGTAAAACCAAACCAACAATGGACGAAACTAATAGCAACGCACCTGGATCTGTTACTGATCATTCCAATCAAGCGCCATCCAAATACTCAAAACATTTAACCCCTTGTCCATTCCTGAAGAAAAGAGGGTTCTGTAAAAAAGGTCCTGTGTGTGATTTCTTACACCAAAAACGTCTATTTCATAGTGACATGCAAGGACTCCACCATAATTCAATGGGCCAGCCTTTCCCACATCAAAATAGCACTAATAGCAACGCCTCTGGACTCGTTATCGATCATTCCATTCGAGCGCCATCCAAATACCCAAAACATTTAACTCCTTGTCCATTCCTGAAGAAAAGAGGTTTCTGTAAAAAAGGTCCTGCGTGTGATTTCCTACACCAAAAACATCAATCTCATAGTAACATGCAAGGACCCCACCATAAGTCAATGGGCCAAGCTTTCCCACAACAAAAACGCCAATTGCATAACAACATGCAACGACCCTTCCATAATCCAATGGGCCAATCCCCATTTTTACCTGCTTTTCGCTATTCTCCTTTTCCTGTGAATCCTTGTTATTTTCCTCCTTTTCGGATCCCAACATACCACCCCACACCCCAACCTTCCCTTTATCCTCCTCCTTTGATGTAGAAAAACAGATACCTGTCAGAATTACGACACGTACATTAAATTTGAAGAGTGTTTATTCTACTGGAATGTTTTGTAATAAGCAACATAACGCAGAGAACTGCATTGTAATTAAAAATTATAAGAAAACCATTGACTGTCCTTCCCTAACAAAGAACGCGAATAATCATAATCACTCAAATTCAAAACTAAAGCTCGCTTATTTGAATGTCAGATCTCTGAAAAATAGAGATAATTTGATCCAGTTGAGGGAACTTAATCGCGAACATCAGTACGACATTTTAACGATATCGGAATCATGGCTTAATTCCACAGTAAAAAATTCAGAAGTTGAAATTGAAGGTTACAGACTGTTGCGGTTGGATCGCCTTGGTAAACGTGGAGGTGGTGTTTGTGTTTTTACTCGTAACTCACTGAAAACAAAGATTATAAAGGATATATCTGTAATTTCATCAATGGGTTTTCATCAATTGTGGATATTAATCCAACATAAGAAAATGAAATCTATTGTGCTATGTGTTGCTTATAGACCTCCTGACTGTCCAGTTTCCTGTTTCGTGGACGATTTCATGGACAACTATTTATATGCACTTACATTGAAAAGAGATATATTCGTAGTGGGTGATCTAAATTGTAACTTATTAAAAAGTGGTCCAGAAT